AGAGGGGAGAGAAACAGATAGAAACACAGGATAGCCTCGGGAGGGCCTGGATCATTATCCACTGGCCTCTCCTGTCTCTTCTAAAGGGCCTTTTATAGGAATACCAAGGAGTGGAGCAAAAGACCTCCCCCTAGCTCAGTCAAGTGTAGACCCTTCCCATCATCTGGAAACCATGTACATGGTCAAGCAATCCTCTAATGCAGCTCCACTGGGTATGGCAAGCTCAGATCTCACTAGGAAACCTTTGTGGGCCTCCACACCACCCCAATTAAATATTTTCCTTATAAGAGTTGCCATGACTGGGCTGGAGAGATGGCTCAGAGGTTAAGAGCACTGGCTGCTCTTTCAGAGGTCCTGAGTTCAATTCCCAGCACCCACATAGTGGCTCACAACCATCTGTAATGAGATCTGGTGTCCTCTTATGATGTTCAGGCATGCAGGCAGAACACTGTATGCATAACAAATAAATAGATACAATTAAAAAAAAAGAGTTGCCATACAGCAATAAAAGCCCTGACTAAGACAGATATACGGAGTTAAATTTAGTAAATTACATGTTTGACCCAAACATTGAAAACTACAAAATACTGCTGAGAGAAACTTTAGGACTTAATTGCATTCTATGCTCATGGGCTGAAGAAACTTGATTTCATAAGAAATTATTTCTCAGAGATAGAGAGAACGGTCAGTAACTAAGAGCATTTGTTCTTGCAGAAGCCCCACATGGTGACTCACATCTGTAATTCCAGTTCTAGGGGGTCTAACACCTTCCTCTCTTGAACTTTGTGGATACCACGCATGCAAGTGGTACACACACACACACACACACACACACACACACACACACACACACACATATATATATATATATATAAATCAGGTAAAACACTCATACACATAAAATATAAATTTGGTGATATATTGTTTGTAATCTAGGATATAAAGCTTGCCTGAAGATCAGATGATGGAGCTAGCCACCGAGTTAGCCATAGAGGTCAATCCTAGCACTCGGGAGGCACAGGTAGAGATCTGTTTGGATTTCTGTGAGTTCAAAGCCACATTGGCTACATGAGATTAATCCAGTCTAAAAGAGAAACAGAGCCAGGCAGTGGCGGCACACACCTTCAATTCCAGCACTTGAGATCAGACACCTTTAATCCTGAGCACCAGGAAGGTTGGAACAGGAAGTGATATGACTGGGCAGAGTAAGGAATATAAGGTGGGAGGAGGCAGAAATTCACGCTCTTTCAGGCTGAGGAGTTGGTGAGGCAAAAGGGGTGGTGACTTGCTCTGCTTCTCTGATCTTTCACCTTTTATCCTGATATCTGGCTCCGGGTTTTCATTATAAAACCAATTAGGATTTGTGCAACATATAAAATATTTTCTAAAGATGGTATTTCTCCTCAAGACAAAATTTAAGTAGAAACTGACAAGTTGGTTCTAAAATTGATATTGGCATCCAGAGAATTTAGAATAATCTAGACAATGTTGAGTAAAAGAACAAAATTGGAAGATTTGCATGACTTCATCTCAGGACATAAAGCCATGGTAATGAAGATGTCTGGGGTCTGGTATAGAGTCTAGCTCAGCAGTTCTCAACCTGTGGGTCATGACCCCTTTGGGGACAAATGACCCTTTACAGGGTCATCTAAAGCCATCAGAAAAATCCAGATATTTACATTACAATTCATAACAGAAGCAAAATTACAATTATGAAGTAGCAATGAAAATAATTTTATGGTGGGGGTCAGCACAACATGAGGAACTGTATTTAAGAGTCATAGCTTTAGGGAGGTTGAGAACCACTGCTCTAGCTGAAGATGCTGGAAAAGGGCTAGAGCAGGGAAATACTGGGTAGGAGAGAACTGAAAGAGGAGCTTTGGTCTTCTAGGGAAGAATTTACGGAGGCAGCAAAACGGTATCATGGCAGTTTTCCTAATTAGCTTGCTGTCTTTGGTGATGCAATTCTTTTATGAGTGACAGTCCTCAGTGCCTCTTGTTTAGCCAGTTTCAATCCATTTCCAAAGTCCCAGTTAAGAGTTAAGCTTGTCCTGCACCTAAAATAAAACCCTTTTACTGAGTGTGGATCCCACATCCATTTCCCCTCCTTTAGAGTGGTACTCTGGAGGCTGGAGAGATGGCTCAGTGGTTAAGAGCACCAACTGCTCTCTCAGAGGACCTGGGTTCAATTCCCAACACCTACACTGTAGCTCACAATTTTCTGTAACTTCAGTTTCAGGGGATCCAACACCCCCATACAGACATCCATGTAGGTAAAACACCAACACACATAAAACCAGAATAAATAAATTAAAAAGAAGAGTGGTACTCTGATTTCTTTGTGGGGAACCGTACACTTCATGAAGAGCTGTTTCACTCCTGGTGTCCTGGTGTTGGAATGAAACGTTCTACTCCTCCCAGAGATAACCAGGGCCATCATCATATTTCCTGGCCTTTCTGATTGGTTCCTAGGTGGGCATGTGACCTAAGCTGGGCTGGTCTGAATAATTCTCACAACTGTGGGAAAGATTTTTAGTCCATGCTAAAGCTGGAAGCTTTGTCAATAACTTCTTTATTGTCCTTTAGGTGAATTTAGGCCTTGTTTTATTTCTTTGTTTTTGAGACAAGATCTCATGTAGCCCAGGATAGATTGCATGCTCTATTTAGCTGAGATTGGCCTAAAACTCCTGATTCTTCCATCTCTACCTCCCAAGTGCTAAGATTACAAGGATTTGCCAGGCTCATCTTAGGTCTTGTTTGATATCATTGTAAAACAAAATTACTTGAGATGAAGCACTCAACTTTTATATTTTCTGTCCCATCCCCACTCCCTGTATTTGTTCCTAAGATGGTAGAAATAGGGACTAGGGAGACGACTCAGCAGTTTAGAATACGGCCTGCTCTTCCAGAGGGCCTGGGTTCAATTCCCAGCACCCACATGGTAGATCACAGTCAGGGGATCTGACGACCTCTTCTGGCCTCACCAGGCACACATGTGGAGCACAGGCATACATACAGGGAAAACACCCATACACATTAAAAAAGATGGGATAGATATTGTTTTAGTCTCAAGTCAATTGCCATGAAAAATGACCCAAAACTCTTCAGCCTCAGAGTGGACTTCATTCATCAGAAGGATGGGAAGGAAGAAAGGAACAGCACATGAGAAGTGTGTTACGACCACACTGCTTTGGGAAAACTCTGCTTCTGCTCACAGTCTTTGCTCAGAACTCAGTGTGAGAGGCTCACTGCATGAGAGGTGCTTGACTGCGGTCCCCAGAGGAAAAGAAGCTATACTTAAGATCCAGGACTTAAGTGCTGGGTGGTGGTGGCGCATGTCTTTAATCCCAGCACTTGGGAGGCAGAGACAGGCAGATCTCTGTGAGTTCAAGGCCAGCCTGGGCTACAAATTGAGTTCCAAGACAGCCAGGGCTACACACAGAAGAACCCTGTCTCGAAAAACCAAAATAAATAAATAAACAAACAAACAAATAAATAGATAAATAAATAAATAAATAAATAAATGATTCAAGATTTAAAATCAGAGTTCCTTGTTGTTGATTTTCATTCAGCCAAATCCTGCTGTATTTCTATTTCCTTTTTTTTTTTAAATTAAGTAATAGAATTAAAGACATCTTAAAAGAAGGGAAAGGCACTTCTGAGGGGGAAGTGGCTAGTGAGCTGGAAAAGGAAGCTAGAAAGTACCAGACAGAGCAGGGGGCGTTTCTCCTTTCTGCCTGCCTCTCCAAACCCCCCCCCCCCCCCCCCCCCCCCCCCCCCCCCCCCGCCCCGTCTAGGTACACCTACACCCGAGGCCTCTACACAGCTTTTCCTTTCTCTTCTGCTCGGCTCCCTGCCCACCCTCTCCTCTGGACTCCGGCAGCCTCTGTTGTCAGCAACCAGGGCGCCCTCTGCCCTGACTCCTCCACAGAGCCCCTCATGCAAACGATCCACCTTCTTGCTCTGTACACTGGACTTCGTGCCTCACGTGAGAAAGAGACCGCGCAGGAGGTGCTGCCACAGCAGGAATGTGGGCGGAAGTCAGCGGCCTTCCCCACAGTTCAGAGTTATGTAACAGTGAAGACCTACTGACTTGAAATCAGTTCAGATCAGAGGGCTGGAACTGGCGTGAGATTAGCCAGGACCAATGACTAAAGCTATGTACTCATGAGCTGGAGCTTCAAACAAATAGAGATAAAATGGGAATCCGGGGAAAAATGAAACTAAGCTTGATAACAAGGAGGGTGAGCTTCTTCTCTGGGGCCAGATGTAAGGATGAGGATATAATGACATTAACGTGAGTCCAGGTCTCGTATGCAACTTTAAATGCAACTAAGGAAAGGTCCTTCCCCCGCTTATTCTAATTTCAAAGCTTACTAACTCACACCAATATTATATCTTCTTTAAAGCCCCTGTCCTCTTTCTCGTCTTCATTCTAACCCACCCCGGGTATTTGAGAGCCTCATTCATTTGTACCAAGTGTTTGGTATTGACAGTGAGATGAACCCTGTAACTATTTCACCATGATTTTTGACATGGTGGAGTGTTTGCCCGGACTTAGCCTGAATGGTGAACACACACACACACACACACACACACACACACACACACACACACACGCACAGTTGACAGAAAGGATAAATAAATACCTTTAGGTCAGATAACTGAGATCTCAAAGGTAGTCAGTTCTTCAATTATGCTAAAAAATGACACAAATCAATTTTTCAAAGGAGACTCCAAAGATCAGAGAATAAAGGCGAGAAGGAAGCTGTGTGAAGCTAGGCTTGGAAGGGATGCGGACCTCACAGCATGTGGCTGGGAGAGGTTTGTGAGAGCAAGAGATGTGGAGATGTGGGCACAGTGGAGAGGTGCCGTGAAGGCGAGGGACATGAAGATGTGGCATCCTGGAGCTTCTGCTTTTGACCGAGGATTCGGTGTCTTTCCTGCACTCTGACTTGGGACAGGGACCTGGTATCGCATGTGTGCGTGAGGTACAGGTCTGATGCTTTTGTTTCTCAGCTCTTAAGGGGAAAGGTTTGAATTATAAGGCAAGCTTGCCTGATCGAAACCTAGTGCAAAGAATGGGAAAAACCCGGTTGCTTTCAAAAAACAGATGAATCCCTAGGAAGCTGGGATGTGGTGTGAAGGCTCCACATAGTCGATTTGGGATCTAGCTGTGTAGACCTGGGTGGACAGAGACCGGGACAGCGCCAGAAGGCTGATCAGTTTGTCCGCACAGGGGCCCAGGCTGAGACAGCAGCTGCAATCCGGAGGTGCTGTTTACTGGACTCTGAGCTCAGCTCGCACAGGGCTGTCTCAGCACCTGACAGTTTCCTCCAGTAAGCGCTCCAAGCCAGATGTCCACAGGGTGCTCCCTTTTCTAGTTTGCGTAAAGATACCAAGTGAGTGCATTGTGGGCAGAAAAGAAAGGAAAGGCAAAAAGTGTCCCCAAACGAATGACAGACCCAGGTGCTAAGGCTTGCCTACCCGGTCTAAAATGTTTCACCTGCCATTCCTTGGGGATTTGACATCCAAATACCAAAGTAGGTTTAGCTGGTAGCAGGTGAAACAAGCAAAGGATGTTTACTTAGTGAGGGAACAATGTTGCTGTGGCCAAACAAAGCGTTGTGAAAGCCGAGGTTCTCAACCTGTGGGTCTTGACTCCTTTTGGGAGGGGTGTCAAAAGACCCTTTCATGGGGGTCACCTAAGACCGTTGGAAAACACAGATATTTACAACTCCTAATGGTAGGAAAATGACCGTTATGAAGTAGCAATGAAACTAATTTTATGGTTGGGGGTCACCACAGCATGAGGAGCTGGATTAAAGGGTCGCAGCGTTCGGAAGGCTGAGCACCACTGTCCTCATATAAGGGAGGCAGAGAAGGGGAGGTGGGCTCGGCCTGGAACTGGACCTAGTCAACTGCACAGGTTCACGCTGAGAACAAGTCTGCCTGAGAGCCCCGAGGGCACCAGAGGCCCCACACACTTCTGTCGGCTGCTGGTGCCTCATCCCCCTCCCTCCCCACGTCAGCGTTCAGATTAATCTTAACCCCAAACTTGGGAAAGACAAAGGATGACTACTAAAGAAATCACCCCACGCCGCCGAAGATGGAAAGGTAAAATTGTGCTGAAACGATCTTGCCGACGGAATAAATGTTGCAGTGGATTATTATGTTGTCTAAAAACAGTCTTTTCGAACCGTGAATGACACTCGGGAGATTTTCGGCTGTTTGCTTTGCAGAGCCTGCATTTTCATTCCGTGTGTGGAGTGATGGATTCCCTCTCTCACCGCCTCCCCTCCGCCTTCATCTCGGCAGTGGGAAATAACCTGACAGAGTGCCGCCGCCGCCACTCAAAGTTCGTGGAGACTCTGGAAAATTCCACTTCTGCAGTTGGATCTGAGTCAGTGTGTGTGTGTGTGTGTGTGTGTGTGTGTGTGTGTGTGTGTGTGTGTGTGTGTGTGTGTGAGAAAGAGAGAGAGAGAGAGAGAGAGAGAGAGAGAGAGAGAGAGAGAGAGAGCACAAGCCTGAACGGGAGCCACAAAGCACTGGCCAGCTGCCATGGAGACAGCTTCTGTGAAGAGGTATTTGTGAAGAAGAAGCAGCCAGGGGGTGGGGAAGATGCTGGAGGACAAAGCAAACTCCTTATTGACCTGCAACTTCGCCCAACAAACCTGAACATGCTCATGTACCTTTCTACACCTTCAATTTCATTTTTAATATTCCACGATAAAAATCAAATATCTATGGTGTAGTATTATTTAATCAATAATTCCTCATGTATATGAGCAATCACAGTGGAAATTCGTCCACTTTTCCACTTCTAGCCCCTAGTGTCTCTAGACCTCTTTTTTTTTTTTTCTGAGATGACCTTTCCTGCCCTACCCCATGGGGATCCCAAGATGGCCCATATACTGGCTAGTGCACAGGTGAGCCAAGTGTCCATCCTTACCACAGTATTTCATTGTTTAATATAGAGTTCTTCATTATTCATAATGTACTTATCTTGGAGATTATTCCAGAGCTTCTAAAATAGGCTTTCTTTTGCTGCCTTATTTCTAACAACTATCTGATATTCCAGTCTGTGATTGTGCCGTCCTTGGTTAAACTATTTGCGGTTCTGTGGACTGACTTTTGTGCCCTCCAGTATATTGAAGTCCTAACATGAAGTTCTTCAGAATGTGATTGTATTTAAAGACTAGGTCTTTAAAGAGGTCAAATGAGATCATTGGTATGATGCTGGGGCCCTCATAAGAACCAGTTAGGGAGTCTACAGTGCTTAGGAGCACTCCATGCTCTTGCAGAGGACGTGAGTTCAGTTCCCAGCACCGACATCTGGTACCAGACATCTGCCTATAACTCCAGCTCCTGGGGATTTGACACCATCTTCTGGCTTCCAAGGGGGCCTACACACACATCGCAGACCCACACACACACACACACACACACACACACACACACACACACACACGCACACACACAAATTTAAAAATAAAATTTAAAAAAAGAAGGAATTAGCCAGGCACAGAAGAAAGTCATAAAGAAAGGATGTCCACTTATCACCAAGAAGGAAGGTTTAGTGCACACCAATGGGAAATGAAACATCCCCAAGTTCACATGTTCACATCCAAAAACCACATAGTATACCTAGATGCCATCCACTTTCTATGAACAGATTGTGTTCAGTTTGTTCCTGCTCAGTTTGCCAAGAATACATGCCCATCTGAGAGTTGGTTTCATGAAGACACTTGTTGGTACTGGTTGTCATGGGAAGAGACACAACCCCCCTCCACACACACACACACCATGAAGATGGCAGGTCAGAGCACATACGGAAAGGCACTTGGAACTTGACCCTCCACTGGCTTCATGTCACACTGAGTCTTTCTCCGCCTCCTGACTTCACTGTATGGTGATAAAAATAACTGAGATTACTGTTGACTAGTCCATACGTGACACTGTCATTTAAAGTGAGCCCCAACTGTAAAGGGTTTCTAGCTTTCCTAAGACACGAGTGTTTGTTCTTGAGCGTCGTGAACCTTGGGAGACCACAGGGAGCTTCAGGGTTGCAGGGACTCCTGAAAAGACGCGGCGTGCTGCAGAGGGTCCTTGTGTGATCCCACTGCCCAGAAACAGCTAGTGCTGCTTTAGAAAACTGTTGTCTGGCATCGCCTCTGTGCTTCAAGTACGTTTTCTTTTCCCATGAGCAGTCAGAGGCACGCGGACACCGGCACCATTCTCATTCTGTGTTACAAGGGGTGGAAGAGGAGATGTTGAGGGGACTCGGGGCTAGGCGTCCTGACGTCTGGCCGAGGCATTTGCCTGTGATCGTCCTCTCTGCTGTGTAGCCTTGTCTTGCTGGCCAAGCTTCTTTCCATTTTTCTGCCTCTGCTTCCTGCTCACACCATTTCCTCTGCCTGGAACTTTTCCAGTTCTACTCACCCTGCAAGGCCCAGGCGGAGACGATGTCTTGGGAGCAGCCCCCCTAGTCACCCCGGTGGAAAGAGCCCTTCTCCGGCCTCTTAGGACACTGCTTACATCTACGCACGCCACCAAAGCAGTAGCCCCATAGTTCCATCTGAAACATGGCTCTGCTCTGTGTTCGCAGCCTCTGTTTGCCAGGACACAGTCCTCGGGGCCTCTCATGAGGTGTGAGCCACTGGTATGCTATTTCTCGGACTCTGGCCTTGCTTGCTGAGGCAGGTCCTTTTGTTCCCGTAAGGACACCTTCACTGTTTGAAGACTCCTCCGAGCCGCCTGTGTGTGGTCTGGACACAGTCTCCTGACTCTAGCTCTGGAGCCTTTAGGAGCTGACCTCCAGCTGGCCTCTGTATTGAGCTGAGGAGTGGCTGGCTTTCACCTCAGTGCTGTTCTCTGTCTCATGGGTTTAGAGCAGAGAGGCTCCGCTCTATTCTGCTCACAGCATTTCAAGCCCAATAGCTCTTCCTCTTTTCTTTGCTGTCCCCTTCCATCTAGAAGGCATTGGTGAGTCCCAGAGCCTATACTCTGCTTCAGGGTGCTGTCAAGGGTCCAAGTTCTTCTTGTTTGACTCTCTTTTTCCTGAGTGTGTGGGGGGAGGGAGGGTCTTTTCTAGGAGACCTCTTAGCACTAATGCTCTGCAGCAGATCTCAGCTGCAAGCATTGTACCCTTGCCCCGTAGAAACCTCCCGTGATCCTACAGTCAGGGGTGAAAAAATAACTCACAGACTGGGACTCCAGAAGACTGAAGCCTTCAGTGGCTTTCCGGGTGTTGGTTGTTGTTGTTTGCTTGTTTGTTTATTTTTTATTTTTTTAAAGATTTATTTACTTTTGCTTTATATGTATGAATGTTTTGCTTGCTTGTATGCACAGGCATCGTGTGCGTGCTCAGTGGCCACAGAGGCCAGAAGAGGGCACCAAATCCCCTAGAACTGGAGTTACAGATGGCTGTGAGCCACTATACGGGTGCTGGGAATAGAACTTGCGTCCTGTGGTTAAGAGCAGCAGGTGCTTTTAACCATTGAGCAATTTCTCCAGACCCAATTCCCCCCCAGAGACAGGGTTTTACTGTGAAGCCCTGGCTGTCCTAGAACTCTCTTGTAGATCAGGCTGGCTTCCAGCTCAGAAATCGGCCTGCCCCTGACTCCAGAGTGCTAGGATTAAAGGAATAGACCACCACTTCCTGACCCTGGTTTCATTTTTAAAGCTCAGTGTATTACTTTCATCAAATAAGATCATTCGAGTTAGACCAGTTTAGCTGGGGTGGCTCTGATGAAAATGGGGTGAGCTGGCTTCTGCACTCAGCCACCCTGTCCCAAAGTCAGCAGGGCTGAGCTTTGTCTGAGGAGGAACGTCCTGGACCTGGTCCTCCACAGCCAGTCACATCATGTACACGAATTAAAAAGGAACATTTCCCACTCAGGAGGGACACAAGTTCACTTTACATAGGCCAACACAGATCCTAGCTTAACCTGGCTGTGGATTTTTTTCTTCCTTATAGTACAGGGAATCTTAAGACTCCCCACCCCCACCCCAAACACACACACACACACACACACACACACACACACACACACACACACACACACACACACGGAAAGTATTCTCTCACTGAGCTGTACCCCCAATCATTCCTTTCCTTTAGAACTTTTTGAGTCGGGATCACATTGAGTTGCCCAGGCTAGCCTGGAACTGTAGCCCAGGCAGGCATAGAACTTACAGTCCTCCTCCTTCAGCTTGCCAAGTAGCTGGGATCGCAGGAGTGTGCCCCCCAGGCCTGGCTGCAATTTGTTTTCCTCTTTCTTTGCTCTTGGCACTTCTCTGTACTTCATCCCCAGGCTCTGTGTGATTAATATTCCTCCCGCTTCCTTCCCACACTTCCTTTTGTAGAGACTCTTTCATCCTGGCAGGCAATGGCCACAAGCATCTGAGGAGTGGTCAAGTGGGCTGGGAAATAACCAGAGGCCGGAGGCTGCTGTAGGTGATGTTAGTGTGGTCTCACCCACACTCTCCTGAGCTTTAGGTTTTCCATTCAAGCTCATGAATGCCACACCCAGGGCATTCCAGCTGAGCTCTCTGTAGCTGAGCCAGAATCTTTAGACAACTGGAGAAAAAATGTGCTGAAGAAGCAAGACCTCCATGCTGTCATCCTGTGGGACCCGCCCCAGTAGCCTCAGCGGGGGCCATCATCCCCAGGGCAGGAATGGGCAGCCCTGGGCCGTGAGCGGTGTGAGTAGACACCAAAGCTGGCTTCCTTTCTTCCTGTCCCTACAGAGTTGGGAATGACTGAAGAATGAGCCAGCATCGAGGATACAGGATGCATTTGTCAAAGTGAGAGAGGCGTGTACGATCACTTGGTATGACTTGAGATTTCTGCCTTATAAAGGAATGTCTCTCTCTGCCCTTCTGGGAGATCAGTTAAGAGATGTTCAGCTTCAGCAATTTCTCTACCAATGCTGCACATGGTAAACCCCAGACTGCTCCCATTTGCCAGGTAGGGGGAAACAAGGCTATCAAAGGAAACCAAACTGCAAACTGATACTCAGAAGCCCTCATGCTTCAGTGATTCTGAATTGTAGGATTAAATAAGGAGGCAATTCACAAGCCTTAATGAGCATAAGCCACATTTCCAAAGCAGTTTATAGTTCAAGAAGCAATTTCTCATGTCTATCAGACAGTGTTCAGTGCAGATACACTGAGCAGCTGAGGCAGAAAAGGAGTTAATGCAGGGGAGTAGGCACTTACAGCATGTCTGCAAAGGCTAGAGGAACAGGCATCAGGCTGGATCTCCAGGATGACTTCCACAACTGTATCCCAAAAATGGCTCTTGCTGAGACATTGTCCACCTCTGCCATAGTCAGAAAACTACAACCAGAAGGGTTGGCTTTAAGCCAGATATCAGTACTGCTGACTCCAGTCCCACAGGACTATTGCTGCACACATAGGATATATATATATATATATATATATATATATATATATATATATATATATATATATATATATATATATATATATATATATATATACCTTTTAACCAGTCCTCCTCCTTCTCAACTTTCTACATCGTAATTGCAAGCAGACAGATGACTGGTAAGATCCCCATGCCATCTGAAAATATAGCTGCAAGAGAGTCTAGGAATTGTAGGTTTTTAACTTTCTAATCGTTGTAGTACAGGATGTACATTGGAAAGCTGGACTAGATATCTGTTTTCTGTCTGTCATTGAAAAACTAATGTTCACAGGAAATCTGAAAACAAGGAGAGGTGATTGTCTTACTGGTCACATGAGGAAAATTGAAGTGATGATAAGGATAGAGGAGAATGACAGGGAGATGAGGGGAACCAGGGACTGTGCTTTGAGCTTGTGAAGCTGAAGAATCTTAGGGGTTGAACTAGGTGAAGGGCTGAGCAGGAAGTGTTTTCTATGGATAAGGATTAGAATGCGCGAAGATCCTACAAATAGAAGGAAGGTGATATAATCATAGAGCTGAATGAAGAAGATGTTGCTGTGAGCCAGTACAGGAGGATTCAAAGCAAACCTGAGGAGGTACAAGGGGATGGCAGACAGGCAAGCCTGAAGGTCTTGTTAGAATCTGGCCTTTGTCCTAAGAAGGATAGGAAAGTAGCCATTCATGACTCATGGTGGGGGAAAGGAGGGGTGCTTAGGGAAGGTGTGCATGGGGCTTGGTCATAGATTTCAAAGTGGCCACTGTGCTTCCTGATTGCATGATTACAGGCTTTTTTGTTTTGTTTTTGTTTTTTACTGCAGTCCACAAACATGTCACTGTCCCAACCTGTCCCTCCCTGGGTTTCGTTTTTTACATAATTCCCATGCTGGGCACATGGGTGAGGGATGGGGTCATCCATGCTGGCCTCAGGCTGGGTGGCTAGGCATAGAGAGTTTATCTGTGAGATTTTCCTCAGGGAACAGTGATTGGGCAAATAACTTACTTTGCACATCCAGAGAGCTGGAGCTGGTCTGTGGATGCATGAGGTGAAACAGTAAGACGTGGAGGCCACAGCTCACCCTGCTCTTCTTCCTTTGGCACTCCAGAAGACTTTGGCTGGGAGGGGGAGCTACTGTGGCTCCCTCTCAATGCACCCTGCTGCAGGTGGGGAGCACTGGATTGGGGCAACTGGTGCATTATATTGGATTTAGCTCTCTTAAGCAAACTCAATTGCTCAATTGGAACAATCCTTAGGCACCTCTGTTCCTCCAGCTACAGCTACCAGATAGGAGGAGAAAGGCCAGTCATTTCCATTTACATATTGGGAACTCTGAAAGAAATAAACAAGAATTCAAATCGTGTGTGTGTGTGTGTGTGTGTGTGTGTGTGTGTGTGTGTGTGTATTTTTAAAGAAATCATGTGAAAACCTAAATGATTAGTGAAGTGTAACAACAGGTGATAATCGGGCTCACAGAGACTAAGGGAAGAAAGAGATTGCCAGGGATAAGTGAGGGCAGGACAGGAGTCGGTGAAGATGAGAAGGAAGGATGTTGGTGTGGGGAAGCGGGTGTGTGGTGCAGGGCCATGTTGGTATTAATTGGTAGTTTCAGTTTGGGAAGATGCAAAAGTCCTGGAGATAGACTGTGGTGGCATTTACCCAATGGTGTAGCATACTTAATGCCACTAAGCTGCACACTCAAACATGATTAAAATGCTAAATCTGATGCAATTTACATTTTTCCCATCGTAATTTTAAGAAGGCATTAGGAACAGAGCATTGTCTCAACGAGGAGACATAAGCTTGTGACTTTTAGTTCAGATGCTGTGCATATGTGGTTACACGAAAAACAACCTGTTTCCTGAAAACACGTAGCTCACCCAGGCCAATGGGCTCCTTCCCTGTGCTTTTGTGCATCCTGAGGCTGTCTCCACAGTGTGCTGGTCAGGAAGTGAATGACTCATGGAGCCTTTATGACAGATCTGTGAATCACACACACACACACACACACACACACACACACACACACACACACACACACACACGAGGACATGTGAGTCACCCCTGCAGGCTTGTAAAACAGGCAATGATGTGATGCCAGAGAGAGATGTGCCTGGGGGCATATGAAGGGCAGCAGCCTGCTCATGACCAGTGCATTCTTGAACAGCCTCTCCCAGAGCTTAGTAATGAGCTGAAGCTGTGGCTACAGCTCCTGACCCAGCCCTGCCATGCTCTGTGTGGCCCTCTTTACGGACACCCTTACTAGCAGCTTCAGGGCAGTGACAGTAGGTAGGGAATCATATGGTGCCCACTTGGCCACTATGGGTCACACCCGCTTCAGGGCCCTCTTGCCTCCTAACATGAGGGGCACTGGATTCAGTCGCATGGAGACTTTTGTACTAACACAGTTTGCTTACCTGTCAGGCTGCCCTTACATCCTCCTTGGCATCGGGAGTCGATGTGGGAGTCACTCAACTGTGTTAACGTCTTGACTAAGAGGTGAAAACTGAGCTTAGACTTGGCTTCTCACTAGTTTTGTTAACATAGTAAGATCCATAAGCTTTGTGGTCTCAGTTCCTTCATCTTTAAAGTGAAGGAGCTGGGTTGGCATTGGTTAGCACACCTCAAACCCCAGCTCCCTGTACCCAAGACAGACACAGACCTATTACCTGCTACCTGTGGTCCCTATTCCCAGCACTCTGCCTCTGAGCCCAGGGGATCATGGTCTTTCCCAGATTCCTCACACCACCATCTGTTAACTGGGATTAAGCATCTGAAATGATTCCTACTTGCCATCTGAAACCCACAGTGTTGGTCCTCAACTCCGGCTTGTTGTATGACTTTTCCTGGTGCATCTGCTTCTGTTCACTCCAAATGGAGAAGGCAATGATGGACCAAAGAAATGACTCCATCCAAGTCCTGCTTGGTGAACCAGGGAGTTTATTAGGATCACTTAGAGGAGCATGGGTGACCTGGGCAGCTGTCTCAATGAAAAGCCCACCCATGGGTGACGGTTGCATTATTGCGGTCCCCTGCACAACTTGCAGGCAGCTATACCACTTAAGTGTCCCCTCTCCCCTGACAATTTCATATGGCTTATATAAGCTCAGAAAGGGGGCCTCCTGAGTCTCAGGAGCCTCCCTCCTCTGTCTTTGTGGAATTTTCCACCCAGAGAAAATTGCTATGTAATAGACTATACTTTACGGAGAACTTTTATAAAAACACATCTGTCCGAACAGACTGGGACTAATAATCCCTGAGGATACTGGTCCAATAACAATCACTTGGGTATCCAGCTTCACCATATTCTTTAGAAAAAGAGATCAACAGATATATGAGGACAGTGCTACTGTGCACATAATTATTCCATTTTATAAGCTACATACTGCCCCAAAGCACACGTAAAATTGAAATTGGAGTTTTGGTTTATACCTCGCGGTGATTTTTGTAAAGATGCCATATACAACAGCCCCAGCCGATGCCCGGTGGGTGGGCAATGAAATAATGTTTGAGCATTTCTGGGAGGTTATGGAATATCGCTCACAAATAGAGTCCCATGGTCTTTAAAGGAAGAGTGAGCTCATGTGTGGTTGGTTGTTTAGAACTGGTCCTTTGAGTTTTCTAATGTGAAAATTTATGCATGTGATACCTGAAATATTTTTATGAGAAAATATTAAATGCTAAGTAAAAAGAGCAAACTTAGAAAGCCCTCTCGGCTTCTCTGACTCCAGGAGTCCGTGACTGTGAGTGAAGTATGTCTGTCCATGCCCAGGAGCTTTCCATGACTCCTGGCAAACTACTTAACCTTCTGTGCCTTAGTTCCCCCATCTGCAAATGGGGGTGATAAAATTATTATAAAATTGTATTTATATCTCCATGTTTAAAATGGTGTCTGTCACTTTGACATGGTTAAACTGACAATAACTCTTTTTTTTTTTCAGGGCTGGAGATCGAACTCAGGGCTTCATGAGTGCTGGGCAAGTGTTCCACCACTGACCTGCACACTTAACCTTCCACAGTAATTCACAGAAAGATTTGTTCTCTACCAAATTCATGTTTATTATGTATATGTTAAAAAAACTCCTTTGTCTTCATTTGCATTGAATGTGGGGGCAATGTAAAAGACAATATTACCTCCACTGAAGTCAAGTGTGGGAAAGAGGCTATTTGGAAAATGTGTACATCTATTACTGACTATATTTCACATAATGAATGGTGGACTCTGGGACCCAAGTCTGGAAACTTTAAATCCCTTTCTATGCCTCAGTTTCTCTTCCAGAAAGCTAGGTCTCATATTATCCTTTAGACAGGAGGTGTTAAGTAGAATTGTGTGGGAAGTGTTCACCCGATCATGGGTGGGCAGCAGGTGACATCTCAAATGTTAACCTCGTGGGTGAAAAGCTTAAGATCATGACCTTGTCTCCAGCCTCTCTCCTGACTGCTGAGGGAAGGTAGGAGAAAGAGAGAGAGTTGGCATCTTGCCTCTAGAAGAATTTTGATTAAGGATAAACATATTCCAAGATGCCATGAAGTTGAAGTCACATGAATGCTAAGTGATTTCTTGGCATCAAAAAAATCAATCTCTTTTTTGTCAGTCCTAAAGAAATAAACACTTTCCTCTTCTTCGATACCAGAAATAGCCAGAGAGGCTTCAGCTATTACAGCAAAAGCTTTTAAAATAATTACTTCTAGAATACGATAATATTAATGATTAGCTTTGTGTAAAAATTGAAAAGATAAGTAGTTAAATACTGGGAATAATAAACCTGGAAGTGTCACTGTGTGATAAGTTTGCCCTTTAAAAGTATCATTTTTCAGTTTTTTTTTCTCACGGTGAATTGTTCAGGAAAAGTTAAATTCTTCACTAAATAATCCGTTTTCTATGATTAAGGTGACTTCTTGAAATGATGTCTGATTTTCATAACCTACTGTCAGAACAGTTGAGATCAAGATGTTTAAAGAGTCCTTTTGAGATTGGTTGGTTGAGATGTGCTGCATGTGCTGGGCACTGTGTATACACAGTCTTATTAACTGATGCACAATTAGCTCTGTGGGGTGGTTATGCCACTCTGTTTTAGAGATGAAGAAACTGAGGCTTAAAGAGGTTAAACTGGGGCTGGGGAGATGGCTCAGTGAGTACCTGCTGCTCCAATATGAGGACCTGAGTTTGATCCCCAGAGCCCATGGGAAACAATGGGTGTGGAGACAGGAGTCCATAACTAGTTCTGGGGAGGTGGAGACAGGAAGATTCCTGGAGCTCGTTGGCCAGCCAGGCCAGCCTAATCAGTGACTTCCGGGTTCAGTGAAATAGCCTGTCTCAAAAAAACAAAACACCAACGTTGACCAGTGTGCATGCGTGCATACACATGTGAGTGGACACACACACACACATGCACTCATTCACAAGTGCAGTTTAAGTTATTGGTCAATAAAATTCAATACAAAAGTAAAAAAACCTGAGATTCAAGGTCCCTTTGCCTATTTAGGAGCCCAAGTTTCTGGCAAGTTGTCCCACGGACCAGAAGTGTGTTATAATGAGACTAATTACTGTAGGGGTCAGGATTTAATCACCAGTCAAAAAGCCCTGGATCATCAGAGGTATGTGTAGCTTGAGTGCGCATGTGTAAAACCGTGAAGGCCGCTCGGGGTGGGAGGATGGGGATCGATTGGAAAAAGCCGGCTCTCCAGGTCAGACGCCTTTGCCTGGGCCCAGATCAGCTGGCAGAGGGTAGAGGCAGCTGGCAGTCCTGTCCCTCCCTGCCCTCGCCCCCTCCTCCGGAGCAAACAAACAGAGCTGGCCATGGCCGCCGAGAGGGCTCTGGAAAGCGCACTCCCGGTCGGTTGGGAGTGTGGGTTTTATAATTAAATTAAGGAAAAAGGAAGCTACAAGAAAATGCCTAGTGACTCAGAATTAAAGTCCTACCTGACTACTCTTTACTACTGCAGTGATAAAATAAATGGCAGGGAGTTTTAAACAGCAAAGACCAGACCTTGGCTTGTCTTTCTATGGGCAGTTGTTAGGTAACAAATGAAAAGCTGGCACGAGTATTACCTCTCTTTCCACACACATGTACACACAGGAAGGTTAACTGTCCACCTGTTAAGATCCCACCCCTTCAGTCTACGCCTCCCCAAAGCAGTCAGTCTGCAGCTGTGTCTCACAAAGGGCACATCTGGGAGGGGGTTTGTTTTGTTGATTTTTTGAGACAGGGTTTCTCTGTGCTGCTCTGGCTGTCCTAGAACTCACTCTGTAGACCAGGCTGGCCTTGAACTCAGAGATCTGCCTGCTTCTGCCTCCTGAGTGCTGGGATTAAAGGTGTGTGCCATCACTGCCTGGGACATCTAGGAGTTTTAACATTGATCACAAATACAACTCCAGTTTCCAATAGTCTACATTGCAATTTCTCAATCCTCTTAGTAATTCCGTTTATTTATTTGCTTGAGACAAGGTCTCTTTGGAACTCACTGTGTAAACAAGGCTGGCCTCAGATTCCCGAGTTCAGGGATGAAAGATAATCATCACCACACCTGGCTATTCATTCATTTATTTTTGAGACTATCTCACAATGTAGCCTCGGATGACTTTGAATTCCTGATCCTCCTGCCTCAGCCTTCTGAATGCTGGAGTAATTACAGGATATCACCACCATACCTTAGCTTAATGATGCAGCTTAATTAAAAATTAATTTCCGATCCAGGCTCCAGCCAAGTTTCATGCACTGCAGCTTCTCTTAGGCCTGTTTAGCTTCCCATAATCTGAAGCAATCCTTCCATACTTTTTTCCCCCCACTGATATTTGTGGAGTGTCCAAGTGAGAGATACTCCAGTTTGAATTCTCCTGATCCTGCCATGAAACAACCCAGTTAAGAGACTCGAGTGACCTGCTGGGATTCTTAGAATGTATGTATGATCCATAAGTGTATGCAAACATACATATAGCAGTATAGTTTATGGCTGTAAAAGCCTTAGAATTACCTGATTAGAGCCAGGTGTACTGGTGCCCGCCTTTAATCCCAGTACTTGGGAGGCAGAGGCAGGCGGATGTCTGTGAGGTCAGCCGGGTCTACGTATACACATTGAGTTCCAGGACAGCCAGTTACATATTGAGACCCTGTCTTGAAAGCACCATCAAACAAGCAAACACAAGAATTAAAGGATTAGGAAATTAAGTTGTTTTTTTTTTAAATTAAAAAGTTTTTAGGGGGCTGGAGAGATGACTTAGTGGTTAAGAGCACTGGCTGTTCTTCCAGAGGACCTGAGTTCCATTCCCAGCACCCACATGGCAGCTCACAACTGTCTATAACTTCAGTTCCAGGGGATCTGACACCTTCATACAGACACACATACAGGCAAAACACAAATGCATATCAAATAAAAATAAATCAATTATAAAAAATAAAATAAAGTAAGAAGGCTTTTATTTTGTATGCATGGGTGCTTGCGTGAGTTACTGGGTTACAGAGGTTTTGAGCTACTGTGTGTGTGTTGGGAAACCAAGCCGGGTCCTCTCGAGGAGCAGCCGGTACTCTTAAGCACTGAGCCACCTCCCAGCCCCTAGATGGTTTTTCTTTGTTTGGTTTGGTTTTTCTTGACTGGGTTTCTCTGCATAGCCCTGGCTGTCCTGAAACTAGCTCTGTAGACCAGGCTGGCCTCCAACTCACAGAGATCCTCCTGCCTCAGCCTCCTGAGTGCTGGGATCAAAGGTGTGAACCACCACCACCCGGCTCCTAAATGTTTTGTTTTAAAGTAGGAAATATCCAACTTCCTCTGCTTCTTTCCCTTTGCCTGAGGGACATGAAGGATAGGTTTTGTGTTTCTGTCCTGAAAACATTTTTTTCTTTTCTTTTTTTTTTTTAAACAATAATGCCAGTCTGCCTGTCCCTACTCCAAGGAGTGGCCGGTGAAAGGCACTTTGTCCTCTGTGGTTCAGTGAGGGCAAACTCCTAGGCTTCGGAGTGTCTTTCAGTTCCCTGGGCTGGACACGCTCATCTCCACCCTGCTGCTTTCTTGGCTGGCCTCTGTAAGAGCCTCCTTGGGCTTGCATAAGACTCGGCCTTACAATGATTAACACCGACCAAGGTCAGTATACAAGGAGCGGCTGCCACCCAGCCACCTAATCAAATGTTTCCTTTATTGGGTTGATTGGGGGAAATTGGTGGCTGATTAACTCTGGAAAGCTTTTAACAAGTTCCAATTTTGTAATCTGAGGCTGGACTCAGGAATGAAGCCTTCTGCTAAAGATGAAGGTTAAGACAACCCCCTACTTAAAGTCTAGCATTTAAAAATTTCATATAACAGACAATCTGTCATTTGGGGATGTCTAATCTATTCTTGATGATGTCCAGTTATCACTACTATTTAATTGCAAAATGTCACCACTGGCCATCCTCCTTTCTCCACTCAGAGCTTGTTATTCACAAATCTGCTTTCTGTCTCTATAGATCTGCCCATTTGGAAGTTTCATGAAATCACCCAACATATGGGTGGCTTTTGTGGCTTCTTTCACTTAGCATGAACTTTTTTTTTTTTTTTTTCAAGACAGGGTTTCTCTGTGTAGCTTTGGTGTCTGTCCTGGATCTCTGTAGACCAGGCTGGCCTCAAACTCACAGAGATCTGCCTGGCTCTGCCTCCCGAGTGCTGGGATTAAAGGCGTGTGCCACCACCGCCCAGCTAGCATGAACTTTTATAACATTAAAAATATATTAATTATTGTGTGTGTGTGTGTGTGTGTGTGTGCATGTGTGTATGGTGTGTGTGTGTGTGTATGTATGATGTATGTGGTGTATGGTGTGTGTGTATGGTGTGTGTATGTATATATGATGTATGTGGTGTATGATGTGTGTGTATGGTGTGTGTGTGTGGTGTGTGTGTATGTGTGTATGGTTTGTGTGTATGGTTTGTGTGTATGGTATGTGTGTATGGTATGTGTATATATGATGTATGTGGTGTATGGTGTGTGTGTGTGTGGTGTGTGTGTGTATGGTGTGTGTATATATGATGTATGTGGTGTGTGTGTGTGGTGTGTGTGTGTATGGTGTGTGTATGTGGTGTGTGTGTGTGTATGGTGTGTGTGTGTAGGTTAGAGGACAGTTCTGTGAAGTCTATTCTCTCCTTCCACCTTCATGCGAATTCCCTTCTGGGGCTGAACTTAGGTAGTCAGACTTACTTACGCATCTGGCCCCTTAGCACAGTCCTTCTGAGATTTACCCATGACATTTGCTGGATTGAGCCTCACTGCCTTTTATGGTGGGATAATACTCAATCTATGAGTAATCACAATAAAAATCCGCGTATCAGTGGAATGCTTGTTTTCAAAATGAGCTGTAAACCTTGGATGAAGGGAGGGAGCCTCCTGCATGGAATTTTTAAAAACTGCAACAATCAAACTGCATATCAGCGATTTCTTTCCACCCACAGTTTACCATGCTAAATAAATTGTTCCATCAGGTCCCTGGCAATGGCATGTTCGAAGCTGAAAAGCAGAATGACGTCTTGACTGGAAAATGGAGTCTCTAAGGAGTGTGACAACGATCTTCTCACGACACCCACCCTCCTCCACAGCCCCTCCTGAGTGGTAAGCCCCAGAGCTCCAAGCCACCTGAGTGAGCCAGTCTCAAGGAAGAGGGACCAGTGATGCCACATCCACAGGGCAGCCTAGGGATGGGCAATCAGGCTCCACCACCCAGAGAGCTGCATCCCTGAACTTCTGATGTGCTTATTGCCTGCAAAGCCCCAGGAGATTCCTTCTCTTTGAACAAATAATTCAGGATTGCTGCCATCAATAGGGCTCTGCCCGCTGCTTGCTTCAGCCTGACTGTGTGTATGTGTGTGTCTGTAATCACCTAGACAGGGATTAGCAAGAAACTATTTAAGAATTCATTTGATGGTTAATGATGGAAAATCCCAGGATTTAAAAGGAGCAGAGTCGGGCTGGGGGATGGGGAGAGTCTGACTGGTTTTCCAGAGAGATGTAAAATCCTTCACCTTCCCTATAATTACGGTCTCAGCCTTACTGGGGGGCAGGGAGAGAAGTCGACGCTCTGAGTGCAGGAAGGTAATGTCACCTCGCTGATCCCTTGGTGACACCGGGCATTGTTTAAGCAAAGAAATCTGATGACAAATAGCCAATTTCCCTTCCCCCTTCCCAAGCCTGTCTCAGGCTTTTCCATCCTCGGCACTTTGCAGACCTCAACAAGAAAGGCTGCGGCCAGCCCGGCAGTGGAGATGAGTTCAGGAACGGGGACACCGCAGATGAGAGGGGCTTCCAGGTTGTCTTCCAGATTTCCCCTCTCGTGAATCCAGATGGTCATAGAGTGTCTTCCCAACAAGCTCCCTTACCACTCCTTTTCATTTGTCCACACTCCCTTTCTCTGTTTTTCTTCTGATTCCTCTCAAAAGCCTGGCAGCTGTCTCCTCATGGCCAAGGCACTTGCCAGTGGGTTATGCTTTCTTCTTTCAGCATGGACCCTGGCTGCTTCTACCAACCATCTTCCTAAGGCCTCTGTCAAGGCCAGCCGGAGGAGGAAGGGGGTAGCATCTTGCTCTGAAGGTTCTGGCGCAGTCTAACAATCAGCACATGTTTTTGAGACCTACATGAGGATATGGGTGTGTTGGGGAGGGATCAAGTGTTTGGCCTATCCCAGGGGATATTAGTCACCCAAATTATGTCTCAGGACTGAAAAAAATGTTAGACAAGTTCATACACGGGGAGTAGCCGTCAGACTGGCCACTCCTTGTTGAACCTTGAGGTTTGGAATTCTGATTTGCCTTCTTTTACTTCCCTGAATTGAATAAAGCCTTCAAGAAGCGTGCTGGGAACTTTTGGGAATACAATTTCCTTAGTGAGGAAGCATAACAATGACATACATATACATTGTATGTAAATGTCACCATGGAATCCATTATTTTGTACGACAATTTAAACAAACTAATAAAAAGTAAGATTGATTTTAAAAAGAAAAGAGAGAATGGAGAGTACAGTAGGTAGGCACGGTTGAAGCAGGTGTGAACCCACCCCTCCCTCGCATCATCTCCCCACCATCTGAAGGTGGACCGCTGAGCGGGTCCCTATGCTCAGGACAGACTGAAAAACTGCAGGGGAAAGAAAACAAAATCAAGGAGACCGAAGGAGTTGGTAGCGGGATGGGGTGGGGTGGGGAGACACACTCCAGGATGAACCCCAGTTTTTGAACAGTCCTATCTGTTAGTGGAACAAGTCATTGCACTGGTTAGAGTCTGCAGGGTAAGTCAGAGGCACCCGACCGTCCAGGAAAGGCTGGGGTTGCTAGATCATCACCACGTTCCAGAAGTCAAGGGAGGACCTCCTTGAATGCTCAAGAGGCAGAAACAGGGGGATCCCTGGAGTTCTCTGGCTAACCAGTCTAGCTGAATCCTGAGCTCCACCGACAGATGTGTTTGGGGAAAAAAAAAAAAAGGACAAAGTGATCCGAGGAAGATACTGCCTTGACCTCTAGCCTACACACACACATGCACACACCCACGCTCTCTAACACACACACACACACACACACTAGCAAAACTACCAAGAGAGCAATTTTTAAATGTTCCAACACATACAAAGAAAATGCTAATCACTTCAAAATATAAACCTATGTCCAAACATCACATCGCACCCGACAAATATGTACAATTATTTTCTGTGAATTAAACCTCATATGAAAAATGTCTGGAAGGTTTCCATGACGTTTCACATCTTAAATCAGTAAGGAACATGAAACAAAGTATAAGGACACATGTATGAAGGAAAATGCCATAGTGACACTCCTTACTGTGGGTGCTAACTTTAAATATTGATTTAAAAATAAAATGAGGGCCGGGCGGTGGTGGCGCACGCCTTTAATCCCAGCACTCGGGAGGCAGAGCCAGGCGGATCTCTGTGAGTTCGAGGCCAGCCTGGTCTCCAAAGCGAGTTCCAGGAAAGGCGCAAAGCTACACAGAGAAACCCTGTCTCGAAAAACCAAAAAAAAATAAATAAATAAATAAAAAATAAATAAATAAATAAAATGAAATAGAGCAAGACGAAAGAAAAACGCCTTTCTGAGGGGTCTCTGGCAGGTGGTTCAGTGGAAGAGGTCCTCAGTTCTGTCTCCTTGTGGAGACTTGGAAGCTGTAACTGTCTTGTTTTCCTGGCAGCAGGAGAGCCCTTGGCAGGAACAGCCTTCTGCAAGCAGCCCCTCCCTCTCCACGGTGTGTGTGTGTGTGTGTGTGGGGGGGGGTGTTGTCACTACCCAATGCCCCGAGACTGGCTGCTGCTGCTTCTGTCCTAACGGGTCAGATTCCCCCAGAGCAGGCCGGCCTGAGAAGCAAGGCTGGTGGCCGGCCTGACTGTAGGAACCTGTTCTGTGGGTCACGGTTAGCCCCAGACTGATCTCTCTCAGGGCAGGCTGACCCCGTGGACCTGTCCAGCCAAAGGTCACCCCTGTGCCTCCAAATACAGCAGCTGTAGCCCCCCCCCCCCCCCCCCCCAGAGAACGCTAGCTCAGGCTGTTCTTTGGTGGTTGAGTCGGGTGTTTCCACTGCTTTGTGCCGATCCTACACCCACCCAGCCTTCCTATTCTCAGGTTTTTAAGAAGAAAACAACCGGTAAAAAAAAAAAAAGAAAAGAAAAGAAAGAAAGGAAGGAAGGAAGGAAGGAAGGAAGGAAGGAAGGAAGGAAGGAAGGAAGAGAAAGAAAGAGAAAGAAAGAAAGAAAGAAAGAAAGAAAGAAAGAAAGAAAGAAAGAAAGAAAGAAAGAAAGAAAGAAAGAAAGAAAGAAAGAAAGAAAGAAAGAAAGAAAGGAAAAAGGCAGTTTGCAGTTTGACTGATGCAGAATTCTAAAAATGACAGAAAAACAAACCAACCACCCGGTTATGGGGTAAGAGCTGTGTCGCACAGACACATTCAGGCTCTAGGGGTGAATCCACATTTACATGGTGGGTGACTGCTTTAACGTCACAAAAACCGGAGGAGGCTCCCTTTCACCTTGTTGCCAGAGGAGCCGGGAGGGCCCGCAGAGTCGGGCGCTTTCACTCATGGCTAAGCATCCTGCTGCGGCTTCCCTCTCTCTCCCGCTCAGGCCTGCCCCGCCCCCACCTCAAAGCCGTCGGAGGTCTTTGTATCAGCCGAGAAAGGAGGGGCTGGAATTACATTGTGTGGGAGGTCAGCAAAGACGAGAGAGGAAACCCAGGGGACAGAATTTTCCTAAGTGACTTTGCAGGTTCTTGACAGCCCCTGCCCCTACCGGGTCTCCCATCCACATTTCACTGTGACAGTACAGTAACCACAGAATCCAAGCACCTTACACTGGGGTCGGGGATGCCGCTCAATGGTAAAGGGCTTGCCCAGCCTGTGGGAGGCCCCGGGCTGGATCATCTTTGTTCTTGGTGGGGAGGAGTGACCTTACAGGTTATACCCAGGGCTTCCCTTCCCCCATTCGCTCAACTGAACATTCCGTTGGGAAGAGACCATCTCCAATCTCCAGAATGGATGAGAAGATCTTGTCTCAGATTTAAATTTAAAGGGCAGCAAAGAAAACTGCTCCTGAACTTACAGACTGCCGCCTGAATGTGCTCTCTTTCGGTGCTGGCTACATTTCAGCCAAGCATACACTGCTTGAGTATCTGCTGGGGGTGCACTCGTGAGCCAGAGTTGTCACCCAGAGCGCTCGTCTCCAGACTTTAGTCACTGTACATTCACATAGGAGCGAAATTGAGTTGCACTACCCATTCTTATGTATTGATAAATTATATCATGTATTGCTATAGTGTATATATATATATATATATATATATGAAATTATGTGCATCATCACACATATGAGATTAATCCAGATAAGTTTTTTTTTTTTTTTGGTTTTTCGAGACAGGGTTTCTCTGTGTAGCTTTGCGCCTTTCCTGGAACTCGCTTTGGAGACCAGGCTGGCCTCGAACTCACAGAGATCCGCCTGGCTCTGCCTCCCGAGTGCTGGGATTAAAGGCGTGCGCCACCACCGCCCGGCCCAGATAAGTTTTTTAAAAGTTGAGAATTGTGCAAATGACCCGTCACTGCCTCCAGCTCCAGACCCCACGGGTCAGTTCACAAGCGGTTGCTCCTGAGAGCCACCAAGACCATCTTTTCTAGGAAACGGATCTCGCTGCCCAATGAAGCCATGTGCCAGAGCATTGACCAGCAGATCGGGCCCTAGGCGGGAGACCTGGCTGCAAAAGGAGCAGGCAAAGACTGTTTTTTTGGCTTGCTTGGCTTCTGCCATGAGGCAGGAAATACCTCTAAGGTGTGCAACTCCCCAAGTGTAGGAATGATGTCAGGGGTTTGGGATGCAGCTGCTTTCACCACATCAGATGCTCTGCTGTGGCCAGCAGTATTAGAGAAAAGCAGGGCCCTTTAACCATTCATTATCTTGGCAAAAAGCTGAGGACAAAATCACTGCCTCCCCCAATAAGAAGAGCAAACGAGAGCTGGGCAGGTGGCGCACGCCTTTAATCCCAGCACTTGGGAGGCAGAGCCAGGCAGATCTCTGTGAGTTCGAGTCCAGCCTGGTCTGCAGAGTGAGATCCAGGACAGGCACCAAAACTAGACAGAGAAACCCTGTCTCGGAAACAAACAAATAAACAAACAAAAATCTTTAAAAATACTATTGAGCTCTTGGGCAGTAGGGGTGCATGCCTTTAATCTCAGCCCTGGGGAAGCAGAGGCAGGAGGATCTATGTAGGCCAGCTTGGTCTACAAAGCGAGTTCCAGGACAGCCAGGGTTGTTACACAGAGAAACTCTGTTCCAAAAACAAAACAAAACAAACAAAAAAATTACTATTGAGCAAAAATTCTATTTGGGGCCCGAAAGTCAAACTACTAAATGCAGAATGTGGAGCCGCACAGAAATCACCTTACCCTACCTTCATTTTGACCTTCCATTCCACAGCTATTTTTAAAATGTATTCCACTCTGTGTTTAGAAGGGCATTATTTATTACTTGAACAAAAACAGCAATTGGTTTCTGTTAATACCAATAAGTTCTGCCAAATCAACCAGCTTCCTGAATCAACAACAGCGACAAAATAAATAAATAAATCACGGCATCATTAGGAGTTACTTAAAAAGTAAAATAAAAGTGTCTTCTCCGACCTTCATCCCGATTCATCTTCTGACACACAAAACACTTTCCCCTCTAATTTCTGTCCCTTTACGTCCTCCCAGGCCTTGACCCAGCACCACACAGACAAACATAATCTTAACACTGCGTCATGCCTTTCTAGCTTGTGATTTTGCACAGGAGGTGTGAGCTTAGCTGGAGTCTGGAACTGCACAGCCTTCCAGGGACCCTTGTCCAGTCTTGGTTGCACACGCATTCGACCTTATTCGACCTCATTCCTGAACCCTCGTTTTGTCTGTTTGTTCGTTTTTTGGTTTGTTTGTTTGTTTGGTTGGTTTTTTGTTTGTTTGTTTTAAGACAGGGTTTCTCTGTGGAACTTTGGAGCTTTTCATGGAACTCACTCTGTAGCCCAGGCTGGCCTCGAACTCACAGAGATTCACCTGCCTCTGCCTCCCAAGTGCTGGGATTAAATGTGTGAGCCATTACCACCCAGTTACAGCAGTTAACAGCATAAGAATTTTATGTGCCCCCCTGCTGCCCAGCTCAATAGTATTTTTAAAAAGTAAAATGATCTAGCATTTTAAAAATGAAAATCTGGTGAATCCCTTAATATTGTTTAAATAAATTATTCCCCCTTTAAAGAAGTAAGTCTTCTGTTTCTTCTGCCTTGGTATGTTCAGGTCTTGCAGGTGTAGAATCGCTAGGTTCTGATGGTGTCATATAGGTCTTTATGTTGTTGCCTGTATTTTTGCACTGGTGTCCACTCATCTCTTCCTCCGCTAGGTGCAGGCCGTGTCTGTGTCTGAAGGTGCCTCTCTTGTTCTAACTGATAGTCTTGGTCCACTAGGAGTTCTTGGCCGAATGGGTGCTGTTGGGCTCTGTTTCTCTGGGAGCAGCTTGGTCTAATCAGTGTTAGTGGGTTCTGTCTCAGGGAGCAGCTGTTCCCAGTTGGTGCAGGGTGTGCTTATGGTTCCAGTGGTTGTTAGGTTCATAGGGGTTGTTTTTTTGTTTTTGTTTTTGTTTTGGTGGGGGAGCAGGGAAAGGTAGCTGTCTGGTCCCTGGGACTCTAATGGCTGGGGCCTAGGGGTTAGAGACCTGATCTGCCGGTCCAGAGATGGGGGCTTACCTGTTCCCAGTCGGTGTAGTGTAGGCTTATGATTTTGGTAATCTGGTTCGGTGGCTGGGCGGCGCCTTCTTTGTGTTCTCAGGTCACGATTTGCTCATTTGTCAACTCCTCAGCTGATCTTGTTTCCTCAGACTGCAAACTGTAGGCTTCTGAAACCTCTCCCGAATGGATCTCAGCTGAGCAGGTTGTTCAGTAGGGCAATCTCACCAACACCTCCAAGTTGTTGGGTTTCACAACAGGAAAACACAGGAAGGCTGGGCCCTGGGTTGGCCTCAGGCAGAATGTTTGGGTCCATTCTGGTCGTGTCCCACAGAGATGACTCCTTCCCCGAGTGCTGGGATTAAAGGCGTCCCTCCTCCAAACTCTTAATCTCCATGTTCTCACCAACTCCTCAGTGGATAAAAACTCAGCTTCCAGTCTTTATTACGACCGTGCCTCTGCCTCTGCCTCTGCCTCTGCCTCTGCTTGTCTTATAGATCACATTTTTTTTTTTTTTTTGAGGCTGGGTTTTTCTGTCCTGTCTGTCCTGGAACTCTCTCTGTAGACCAGGCTGGCCTCAAACTCATAGAGCTCTGCCTGCCTCATCCTCCCAAGTGCTAGGACTAACAGCGTGCACCACTACACCTGGCAGATCACAAATTCCTGTTATCTGAGTTAAAAACATTGTGAGCCAGTTAACAACAAAATCAGTGTCCAGTTTTAAGGAGATTTAAGGACTCTTGTGTAACTGGAAGTTTTCCTGTGTCCTGCATGGTTCACAGCCACTCAG